AGGGTTGGTTGGCCTAGGCGGGCATCGATCCGGGATTCGAACCCCTGACCGCGCGTGTGATATAGTGCGCCACTTGCCACTACACCACCTCCGCCCCTGTTCACTGGTGATATCGATAAAAAATCCAATTGCATGATTTTGTTCCCTTTTTCCAAGCCTAGACACCCTTCTCACCTTATTCAACGCAAGCGCTTCAACAGATCAACTTCTCACCTTCTCATCTCATTTCTCTTGTATCATGTAAATGGTAAAAGCGGAAGATGGATGAGCCATCAGAGTGTTATCGGTCGCAAATTTTTCGCCCTCACTGAAACAGTTCCAGCTTTATAGTGCGGAATGAGGCTACTCATACTCCCTTTATCGGTGGCTGTATGCGTGAGTGGTGGTTTGGTTGGAGGTCGCAATGGCTTCGTCAAGGAAAATGGCACAAACGAGGTAAAAAGACTGCCACTGAATCTGTAGAAGATTAACTCATCAGGTATGCCTCCAGATCCTTGGAAGTAGTATGCTCGAATTCCGAAAAAGGCTGACCGCATACGAAAAAAGGCATCCGGAAGAATTTAGACTGAGCGAAGAGCAAAGAAGAGAACTTGCGGAAAAATTGAAAGTAAGTCATCCTCATGAGTGGAACTATAGTTACTGCTAAGTCATTGAATTCATCAGACACTCAAAAGGAAAACTGTTGGGAAAAGTCTCAATGAAGACTCGATTGAAACAATTAACATGAAAAGCCACGTTGCGGATATGTTGTTCCAGGGTGATATGGTCCTTTCGAAGTTTGTTTTCTTCATTTTTCAAATATTTGACGGCGATAATTTGCACCAAACACTTTAAGGGAACAACAGGATCAAATCATTGAGGACGTCGCTCACACCCGCGGTAAGCGACAGGCTTATAGTAACACAGCCTACCGATGGCATGAGAGAGTGAGCTACTTTTTCGACGATAGCGCAAGTCTGTTATTTTCACCTTCATTGTAAGAAACTAGCAAAATTCTTTTCGGACTACATATTTAGGTGATAAGGTCCGTAGTGTT